TCCTGGAGAAAGCTGACGTTTGCAAGAAACTTTGAATACAAAGCACTGGCAATAAAATGAAAATCTCGCCATTTCGAGAAACTAACATTTGTGTGAAGTAGTTTGGGAAGATATTGCGTGGGTATCCTCTTAATGACATGCATGTGGGTGATAAGGGTTGAATCTGAGAAGGACTTGTCTAGTAAGGACCAGAAGACTTGCTGCAGTGTTTCCTTACCTCTTGAGGGACTCACCTCCACCTACTAACATTGACGGACTGGAGACGTCAAAGGTAAGGCGGGAGAATTTCTATACTGGAGGTCTTAGAGGCGGCTATATGGTTGTAAAGGGAGGCTGGGAGACGTGCTTTAAATCAGCCTTATTGTTATAACTATATTTATCTAATAGAAAGGGGGCTTTCAGGGGTTGAGGGAAATTTGGGGGGCTGAAGCCCCCACGAGCCTTCCTTCCTTAGCGCCGCCAGTGTCACAATTACTTCTACTGTCTCCAGTGTTATTTTCACCTATACCTAACCTGAAGAAGACTTTCGTGCAGACGAAACGTTCCATCAGTAAAGATACGCAAGTGTTGCACAGGTGTTTTATTCATCAATAAAGATACCCAAGTGTTGCATATGTCTCTCATTTATCAACTTAAAATAATATCTCTACATGTAATATTTAGATTAAGGTAAGCAGGGCCAGGTTAGGTTAACATGGTTAAGTTATATTAAGTCAGGCTAGATTTACACTGTAATTTTTTATAATAACATTCGTTTCTTTTTTTACGTAGCTACGATGTGTCGGTAACTCAACAGGCAGCGGATTTACGATACTTAGTGAGACATAAACAAATTACCATTTCCACGCATTTTAAAACTGTAATTCCATATATTCCATATTCTTCTCGATTATATTTGCACTTTAAATTGCTATTATAATCATTACGGCTAGCCAGTGATAACACAACCAATTTGGTTCCTAACTCAAAAGCCAAATTGATTGTTTTCAACTAACTTTGATGTGTTGATCACCAATCTGAATTTGTTAAGTCATTATTGTGTATTTTCATAGATCTTATAATCCATATTTTGGTTATTTATGGTTGAAGAAATATCATAGGTATTCTATCGTAGACATAATTACTAAGTGTAGCCCAATGACCAAAATTTATCGTTCTCGACGTAAATCCTTTATATGTATAACGAAAATATGTTTGTTAGGCTTTCTCGCATCAGTGTCCAGCAGCAGTGTCCAACAGCAGCAGTGTCCAGCATCAGTGTCCAGCATCAGTGTCCAGCATCAGTGTCCAGCATCAGTGTCCAGCATCAGTGTCCAGCATCAGTGTCCAGCATCAGTGTCCAACATCAGTGTCCAGCATCAGTGTCCAGCATCAGTGTCCAGCATCAGTGTCCAGCATCAGTGTCCAGCATCAGTGTTCAGCAGCAGTGTCCAGCAGCAGTGTCCAGCATCAGTGTCCAGCATCAGTGTCCAGCAGCAGTTTCCAGCAGCAGTGTCCAGCATCAGTGTCCAGCAGCAGTGTCCAGCAGCAGTGTCCAGCAGCAGTGTCCAGCATCAGTGTCCAGCATCAGTGTCCAGCATCAGTCCAGCCAGTGATCACAGTGTCCAGCAGCAGTGTCCAGCATCAGTGTCCAGCAGCAGTGTCCAGCAGCAGTGTCCAGCATCAGTGTCCAGCAGCAGTGTCCAGCAACAGTGTCCAGCATCAGTGTCCAGCATCAGTGTCCTCATCAGTGTCCAGCATCAGTGTCCAGCATCAGTGTCCATGCATCAGTGTCCAGCATCAGTGTCCAGCATCAGTGTCCAGCATCAGGTCCCACAGTGTCCAGCAGCAGTGTCCAGCATCAGTGTCCAGCATCAGTGTCCAGCATCAGTGTCCAGCATCAGTGTCCAGCATCAGTGTCCAGCATCAGTGTCCAGCACAGTGTCAGCATCATGTCCATCAGTGTCCAGCATCAGTGTCCAGCAGCAGTGTCCAGCATCAGTGTCCAGCATCAGTGTCCAGCATCAGTTGTCAGCATCAGTGTCCAGCAGCAGTGTCCAGCACTGTCCAGCATCAGTTCAGCTCGTGTCCAGCATCATGTCCAGCATCAGTGTCCAGCATCAGTGTCCAGCATCAGTGTCCAGCAGCAGTGTCCAGCATCAGTGTCCAGCATCAGTTTCCAGCATCAGTGTCCAGCATCAGTGTCCAGCATCAGTGTCCAGCATCAGTGTCCAGCATCAGTGTCCAGCAGCAGTGTCCAGCATCAGTGTCCAGCATCAGTGTCCAGCATCAGTGTCCAGCATCAGTGTCCAGCATCAGTGTCCAGCAGTCAGTGTCCAGCATCAGTGTCCAGCAGCAGTGTCGCATCAGTGTCCAGCATCAGTGTCCAGCATCAGTGTCCAGCATCAGTGTCCAGCATCAGTGTCCAGCATCAGTGTCCAGCATCAGTGTCCAGCATCAGTGTCCAGCAGCAGTGTCCAGCATCAGTGTCCAGCAGCAGTTTCCAGCAGCAGTGTCCAGCATCAGTGTCCAGCAGCAGTGTCCAGCAGCAGTGTCCAGCATCAGTGTCCAGCATCAGTGTCCAGCATCAGTGTCCAGCATCAGTGTCCAGCATCAGTGTCCAGCACAGTGTCCAGCATCAGTGTCCAGCATCAGTGTCCAGCATCAGTGTCCAGCAGCAGTGTCCAGCATCAGTGTCCAGCATCAGTGTCCAGCAGCAGTGTCCAGCATCAGTGTCCAGCATCAGTGTCCAGCATCAGTGTCCAGCATCAGTGTCCAGCATCAGTGTCCAGCATCAGTGTCCAGCATCAGTGTCCAGCATCAGTGTCCAGCAGCAGTGTCCAGCAGCAGTGTCCAGCATCAGTGTCCAGCATCAGTGTCCAGCAGCAGTGTCCAGCATCAGTGTCCAGCATCAGTGTCCAGCATCAGTGTCCAGCATCAGTGTCCAGCATCAGTGTCCAGCAGCAGTGTCCAGCATCAGTGTCCAGCAGCAGTGTCCAGCAGCAGTGTCCAGCATCAGTGTCCAGCAGCAGTGTCCAGCATCAGTGTCCAGCATCAGTGTCCAGCATCAGTGTCCAGCATCAGTGTCCAGCATCAGTGTCCAGCATCAGTGTCCAGCATCAGTGTCCAGCAGCAGTGTCCAGCATCAGTGTCCAGCATCAGTGTCCAGCATCAGTGTCCAGCATCAGTGTCCAGCATCAGTGTCTAGCATCAGTGTCCAGCATCAGTGTCCAGCAGCAGTGTCCAGCAGCAGTGTCCAGCAGCAGTGTCCAGCAGCAGTGTCCAGCAGCAGTGTCCCTCATGGCAGCTGTGGTACTATCATAATACAAGCATTGCAATAACATGGTTGTTGCTTGGTGGTAGTATGACAGTAGCATAGTAGTAGTAGTAGTAACATGGTGTTGATAGGATGGAGGTAGCATGATAGCAGCATGGTGGCAGCATAATGCTAGTGTCATGGTACTAGCATGGTAGTAGTATGGTGGGAACATATTATAATTCACATCCTTCTCTCGATGTTGTTTCATATTTAAGTTAAATTTAAATATATATAATATATATATATATATATATATATATATATATATATATATATATATATATAATATATATATATATATATATATATATATATATATATATATATATATGTATATATATATATATATATATATACATACATATATATATATATATATATATATATATATTATATATATATATATATATATTATATATATATATATATATATATATATATATATATATATATTTTTTTTTTTTTCAACAAACCGACCGTATCCCACCAAGGCAGGGTGGCCCAAAAAGAAAAAACAAAAGTTTCTCTTTTTAAACCATACCCCCGGCCTGGATTGAACCCGCGGTCATAGTCTCAAAACTCCAGCCGGGGGTATGGTTTATTTGCAATCGTGTCATTACGATTTCTTAAGTCAGTTTCTCTTTTTCAATTTAGTAATTTATACAGGAGAAGGGGTTACTAGCCCCTTGCTCCCGGCATTTTAGTCGCCTCTTACAACACGCATGGCTTACGGAGGAAGAATTCTGTTCCATTTTCCCATGGAGATAAGAGGAAATAAACAAGAACAAGAACTAGAAAGAAAATAGAAGAAAACCCAGAGGGGTGTGTATATATATATGTTTGTACATGTATGTGTAGTGTGACCTAAGTGTAAGTAGAAGTAGTAAGACGTACCTGAAACCTTGCATGTTTATGAGACAAAAAAATGGACACCAGCAATCCTACCATCATGTAAAATAATTACAGGCTTATGTTTTACACTCACTTGGCAGGACAGTAGTACCTCCCTGGGTGGTTGCTGTCTACCAACCTACTACCTATATATATATATATATATATATATATATATATATATATATTAATATATATATATATATATTATATATATAATATATATATATATATATATATATATATATATATATATATATATATATATATATATATATATATATATATATATATATATATATATATATATATATATATATATATATATATATATATATATATATATATATATATATATATATATATATATATATATATATATATAATATATATATATTGTGTTACCTGAAAGATTTTATTTTTAATAAAAGTATATATGCAACATCCAAACGGCTAATATCAGGAGATCGTAGGAAGCAATATGCAGTTAGGCGATGCAAGGTAAGTTAAGTGGAAGTTGCCAGAGGGAGCGAGAGTGTGAGGTCAACCTTCCACCACCTCTGCCTCACGTCTGTCTCCGCACCTGGACTGCCGGTGCTATTTATGGGCAGCATCTTCCCGTAACCTGTTGAGTTCTATGCTTTTTGATTGGCTACTGCCCCCAGCTACATCATTTCCCTCGGCGGTGCTTATTGGCTCTTGCACCTATTGCGTCACAGGTGATGGGCGGTGATTGGCCTGGGCAGCCGGTAAAGACGGCTGCCAGTGCGCACGCGTGGTTGACTAATATTCACTTCTTGACTAAGTTAAAAGTGTGTGCGAGTGTGAGTAAAGTTGCAGACTTGTCGGAGTATTGTGAGACGAGTGTGAGAGCGAGCTAGCCTTCAGAGTGCTCCGTGGAGCCCTTGCTGGTGTTCTCTCTGGACTTCGATGTTCTCCGTGTGCTGACCTATCGTTGTGTCTTTTCCTCGTATCGTCCACAGCCAATAATCGTAAGTACATGATCTCCGTTCACATATATCGCAGTTCTTCATACTAATTTTCGTTGTTTTGCGTGTAAAATTTGACACGATCTTCAGCAGAGGAAGTGTGTTTTCTTGAAGACGAGTGAGCTGTGTTGGTCAATTCAGAGATGACCAGGAACATTCTTGTGTTGTGAGCACTATCTTGAGGGAAGTGTCACTCAGTGTCCACCAGCTGTACCACCTGTCACCTGCCCACTCAGTGTCCACCAGCTGTACCACCTGTCACCTGCCCACTCAGTGTCCACCAGCTGTACCACCTGTCACCTGCCCACTCAGTGTCCACCAGCTGTACCACCTGTCACCTGCCCACTCAGTGTCCACCAACTGTACCACCTGTCACCTGCCCACTCAGTGTCCACCAGCTGTACCACCTGTCACCTGCCCACTCAGTGTCCACCAGCTGTACCACCTGTCACCTGCCCACTCAGTGTCCACCAGCTGTACCACCTGTCACCTGCCCACTCAGTGTCCACCAGCTGTACCACCTGTCACCTGCCCACTCAGTGTCCACCAGCTGTACCACCTGTCACCTGCCCACTCAGTGTCCACCAGCTGTACCACCTGTCACCTGCCCACTCAGTGTCCACCAGCTGTACCACCTGTCACCTGCCCACTCAGTGTCCACCAGCTGTACCACCTGTCACCTGCCCACTCAGTGTCCACCAGCTGTACCACCTGTCACCTGCCCACTCAGTGTCCACCAGCTGTACCACCTGTCACCTGCCCACTCAGTGTCCACCAGCTGTACCACCTGTCACCTGCCCACTCAGTGTCCACCAGCTGTACCACCTGTCACCTGCCCACTCAGTGTCCACCAGCTGTACCACCTGTCACATGCCCACTCAGTGTCCACCAGCTGTACCACCTGTCACCTGCTCACTCAGCGTCCACCAGCTGTACCACCTGTCACCTGCCCACTCAGTGTCCACCAGCTGTACCACCTGTCACCTGCTCACTCAGTGTCCACCAGCTGTACCACCTGTCACCTGCCCACTCAGTGTCCACCAGCTGTACCACCTGTCACCTGCCCACTCAGTGTCCACCAGCTGTACCACCTGTCACCTGCCCACTCAGTGTCCACCAGCTGTACCACCTGTCACCTGCCCACTCAGTGTCCACCAGCTGTACCACCTGTCACCTTCCCACTCAGTGTCCACCAGCTGTACCACCTGTCACATGCCCACTCAGTGTCCACCAGCTGTACCACCTGTCACCTGCCCACTCAGTGTCCACCAGCTGTACCACCTGTCACCTGCTCACTCAGTGTCCACCAGCTGTACCACCTGTCACCTGCCCACTCAGTGTCCACCAGCTGTACCACCTGTCACCTGCTCACTCAGTGTCCACCAGCTGTACCACCTGTCACCTGCCCACTCAGTGTCCACCAGCTGTACCACCTGTCACCTGCCCACTCAGTGTCCACCAGCTGTACCACCTGTCACATGCCCACTCAGTGTCCACCAGCTGTACCACCTGTCACCTGCCCACTCAGTGTCCACCAGCTGTACCACCTGTCACCTGCTCACTCAGTGTCCACCAGCTGTACCACCTGTCACCTGCCCACTCAGTGTCCACCAGCTGTACCACCTGTCACCTGCCCACTCAGTGTCCATAAGCTGTACCACCTGTCACTTGCTCTCATTGTCTACCAGCTGCACCACCTGTCACCTGCTCAGACTCTGAGAGATATTCCTCCCTGTGCATATAAATTAAAGATTCTCATTTCAGTGAGCATACACTGAAATATAATCCATTCAATTTGTATACACCGATGAATAATCATCTCAGTCTATATATAGAAACAGACACTCCTCTCAGTGTATATAAACTGAGAAATACACCTATCACTGTACATACCATGCGATATACCATCTCAATAAATAGAAGTTTACTGAAAGATACGCTTCTCAAAATATACAGACTTAGAGATAACGCAGTGTGCACGGAGTATATCATACACCACGGAGTATATCATACACCACGGAGTATATCATACACCACGGAGTATATCATACACCACGGAGTATATCATACACCACGGAGTATATCATACACCACGGAGTATATCATACACCGAGAGATAAACTTCTCCATGATCATTCCTCCATGAATCATATGGACTCAGAGCTATAGTTCTCTTAATATAATAATAATAATAATAATAATAATAATAATAATAATAATAATAATAATAATAATAATAATAATAATAATAATAATAATAATAATAGCCGGACTTGAGTCCTGGAAGTGGGAAGTATAGTGTCTGTACTCTGAAGGATGAATGGGGGATTTTGGACTTGAGTGAGTAATCTGAAGTGTAAAATCCCCGTATTTCCGGCAAGACAGTTACTGAACGAATGATGGCAAGTGTGTTTACTTGTTTTGGATTATCCTGTCATCATGGGATAATTGCTAGGTGGTGAATATTAATAATAATAATGACAATAATCAGAGTATACACCTTTCTGTGTGGGTCATCCACAAAATTGTGAGTGATCAACAGCCTTGGGGATAGACAGGATAGGATAGTGGGGATGTGCCGGAGAGAATAGTGGAGTTGTGCTGGAGATACACAGTACGTGTTAGAACTTAGATGAACTGCTTCCAGACGCATCCACTCGGAAGTCAAGAAGGTGGGCGTGAAGGAGGGGTGGGCGTGAAGGAGGGGTGGGCGTGAGGGATGGGGTGGGCGTGAGGGAAGGGTGGGCGTGAGGGATGGGGTGGGCGTTAGCGAGGGGTGGATAGAGGGGGAGAGGTCGGTGCCACCAGTGATACAAGGAGCTTGACACACATGTTGTTGATGGTATGTGTGTCTGTGCGTTAGTGGTACAGGTCGTGCAGGTGTGTCCCTCTCTGTGCCTCAGTGATACAGTGGAAGGCAAACACAGAGAGGGTAGTTTTTCTGTACTCTACTTCGCTACTAAGTACAGCATATACAAAGTTAAATCATCAGTATAACGATAAGACAAAGCAAAGAGTCACTCATAACAGCAGGATACACTTTAGAGTACAAGAGAGAGTACGAGTAGTCTGAACCAGCTTAAGCGAGTGTCTGACTCACAACTAGGCAGAGAATCACATCACCTTTGTTGACAATCCGGCTCTTTATTTCTACAAGTACACGTACTTCTATACAGAAAGCCTCTTGTTATGTAGAGCATTTCGGGCAAATTAGTTCAGATTTTTCCCAGGATGCGACCCACACCAGTCGACTAACACCCAGGTACCCATTTTATACTGATGGGTGAACAGGGACAGCAGGTGTCTCATGGAAACACGTCCCTAATGTTTTCCAGCCGTACCGGTTGATTAAACTGAACAATTAACACATCAGAGGGGTTCCAGAACTGCTACATTCCGAATTGCCAGTTTGCTGGTCGAGAGGGCATGCCACTGGGTATGTGACGAACGTCGAATAAATAGTAACCTACACATCGCACGCCACAGTTAGTGGCTATTTTAACCTGTTTATTATCACAGAGGTTGGATACGTTAGATGCAACGTTGCTGACCACCAGGACGACATATCTGGGGGTTCTCCTTCAACTGGGTTCTTATCAGTCTTGCTGAGGATGCATGTCCCAAATTGCCTCTGGTCTTGTATTAAGTGAAGGTGAAAGTGAAGCAAGCTGAAGGGATGTGTGAGATATCTGGTCTCTTCCATGAGGCAGTGCAGGGACTGGAAATTGTGAAAGCTCTAAAAAGCTTATAACAGTTATCTTAGTTGGTAAAAGAAATTCAATAAATCAGTCATGTTAGTTGATTTTCGGTAAACCTTAAGTGACAGTCTTCTATTAATTGTGAGTAAAAGCACATCAAGAAAAGGTATGTAGTCGTCATGCTTTTCTAGAGTGAACTTAATGCAAGGTTTGAAGAGTCTTCATAGTGCTGAGGATGTCACCCACTTCAAGACTTTTGGTTACTGTGGCTAAAATGTCATCCACGTATCGCTTCTAAGTGGCTGATCTAGGTACAACAATGCATATATTATGGCTAGATTCTAAGTCCTTCGGGTTCAAATTAGCTAAAACTGCGCTCAGACATGAGTCTTTGGCTATAATAATAATAATAATAATAACAATAATAATAATAATAATAATAATAATAATAATAATAATAATAATAATAATAATAATAAATAATATATTATTATTATTATTATTACTATTATTATTATTATTATTATTATTATTATTATTATTATTATTATTATTATTATTATTATTATTATTATTGTTGTTGTTGTTGTTGTTGTTGTTGTTGTTGTTGTTGTTGTTGTTGTTGTTGTTATTGTTATTACTATTTTAGTTCAAATAGTCGCTGTGAGCACGTGCGTCTCCGCGTTACGGTCTTGTGTTACAGGTCTTGTTTTACAGGTGTTGTGTTACAGGTCTTGCTTCACAGGTGTTGTGTAACAGGTCTTGTTTTACAGGTTTTGCAAACAGTGCAGCATAACAGTGTTGCAGTTCAGAATGGTCAAGTGGAAGCAGCCAACACAGTCAGACACTGCTGGAGACCTTGACCAGGTTTCATAAACACCAAAAATTCGTAGAGAGAATTTTTTTCCAGTAATTTAAATTAACCTTATTGAGACAAACCTGTGACTCTCTTCACGTGAATCACGAGAATACAGTCTGTAGTGAATCATGAATCTGTAGCCATAACACCAGAAGTGAAAACTGGACCACGTATTGGTCCACCCTGGACCATTGCTGAGTAGTACCCTGAAACGGGTCCATTTGACCCTACGTTGTTGTGGGAGGTACATTTGTAACCTCTGTAAGTTTGTTTGTGGTTCCTTAATTGTGTCTTCGGGGGTCGAACCCCTGGACCTCCACCTTTGCATTTTCATTAATGAATAATTTTATATTATAGTCCCTCTTATATATATATTTTTGAATTTCTATAGTGAGACGGTTTTTTCTTATCATTTACCCGGAAAATTTTCATTCAGGCGAAGTTAT